AAAAGATAATATTTTGCGACCTCTGGTTTTGGATTTTTTTAAAAGTCAATTTTTGAGCTACAACGATCATCTTCGAACTCGATCTGTCTTTTTAATATACAAAACGACCCTGAAAATCCCAGGTCGCTATCTCAATACAGTGGCCACTCGCATAGCCGCGCCTCTCATAGCTGCGCTAAGCTCTACTAGCCTGACCCCACTGCTCACCGCCATGCACTGCTAGTGTGGATTCTGATTGTTCTCTAATTACTGTTCAACGGCTTTGAAGCTAAATAACACATACAGCACTGTGGCTTCATCCCTCGGCCGGCCATTTAGCGGGAGATGGGGGTCCCTCGCATAGCCGCGCCGGCCTACAAAGGAGAACCGTGCGGCGCGGCTATGCGAGTGGCCACTGTACTTGAGATAAACCGTATTTTGAGTGTCTTTTAACCAAAGTACTCATCACCACTGGATTCCTTGGAAAATTTACTAGAGACAAGTGTTTTGGCTTTTTGAAAATTTGCCTCAATTACAATTTCACTACAGAGATTTGCGTTGTTGCAAAGTTGCGGGCGAAAATGTCTATTCTTTCTCGAGTTATCGTGTGGACAGACGGACAAAAAAACAAACAAACAACCAGAATGAAACTTTTCCGGTCAGTGGAGTTATGGGCTTCGCTAATCGCTCAGCCAATTAATCGCACAAAACGAGCGCACCCAAAGGTAGAAATTTTGATCAAGCTGTCTGAAGTTTGTTAAATAATGACAAAAATTATTTACAATTTCTACATGGTATAGGTTTCGTCTAGTCAATCCTCTCATGACTATAATATAGTGCTTTCAGGTACATGGGTTGGATGTTAATGAAGATTTAGGATGCAAGCCACTGGTATACATTAATCCGTCTTTGGTTTTCTGTTACCTTTTACTGCAGCACTGCAGCTATGTTGAAAATGAGGCAGCTTCTATGCATTCTGAAAACGGCGTTGTCCAAGAAGGGCAAGGCATATGCCCGGGCTGTTGTCACCACTGTTCCTCCTTTTTGGCTGAGCGATTAGCGAAGCCCATTACTCCACTGACCGGAAAAGTTTCATTCTGTTTGTCTGTTTGTTTGTCTGTCTGTTTGTTTGTCTGTCTGTCTGTCCGCACGATAACTCGAGAAAGAATTGAGATAGCGACCTGGGATTTTCAGGGTCGTTTTGTATCATAAAAAGACAGATCGAGTTCGAAGATGAGCATTCTAGCTCAAAAATTGGCTTTTTAAAAAATCAAAAACTACAGGTTGCAAAATATTATTTTTTTTCAAATATTTTTTCATGGGCTTCTAAGGGGTAACTCGTGAAAGTAGAACCCTTTGGGTGAAAATTTCGTCCGTTTTTCTTTATCTGGTACTGTTTTGACGCTATAGCGCATTTCTTGGCGAAAACAACGTGAAAAAGACAAAATGGTCTATGAAATCGTAAAAAAAGGTTTCATGTCACAGAATTGCAAAGGGAGTAATACTTAGACCACACGTTACGGGTCGAACCACACCCTCTTTTAGGCTTAAGGGTCCCTAGATTATCTACTACCACTAAAACTTTGATTTATACAGAACAATCTGACAAAATTCGATTTTTAATGAAAACCGTTACCGAACAGCAGAAGTTCCATGTCCCTAATTTTAGTGTAAGAAGACCCCAACAAATGGTTCGAGTATGTCAAATTTTGGGCCCGGAAGACCCTGTTCCCCTAAACCCTCTCCTGAACTCGTCT